TTCCTTCACCCAGGCTCTAGAAGATCATACTATTCGTCACGCAAAGATACTTGAAGCTCTGGAAGCTGAGAAACAGAAGATTGCTGAAGAAATAGACAACCTTCAGAAGAGTCGTGGAAGCGGGAATAAAACTCTGCCTAGTATGTGTATACATAAAGTTGCAAGGGCAATGCTGCCTTCTCTTTGGCTTGGTGGTCTTGGATTTAGTGGATATGGATCCAGAAGCTTTTTCTTTTTTCTCTAACAACCCTGAACCAGAAGAGCCTTTTGGCTGCTATGATCCTTCATATTCATAAGCTGTATATACCAGACAGTGCTAAAAGCTCGTTTATTCACACCAAAGTGATTAGCTGGATATACATGTAGTCTGTATTTACCCCGATTACTTCGAAGTTCTTCCCCCATCTGGCTTGAACTGGTTAGGTGTTAACTCACTGAGGAACTGGAGTACTGCTTAGTTTCCTATCTCAGTTTAGTCTAATATATAGTGTCGGGTGTTATGCTTCTATTTCAGAAATACCTTTTACCTGACCTCTTATAAAGGGTATCTTGGCTGGGAGGTTTATTTTTCCCCATGTATTGGGAATTCACAGAACTATTGTTGCCTAAATTCTATTCGATTTTTTTGGTGGGGTTTCTTTTTTGGGGTTTGTTTGTTTGTTTTTGTTTTTTTTACCCTGAAGGTGCTTGATCCAGTTAATCATTATGTGCGATATTCTTTATTAGTTCCACTTAACTGGAATTCTCTGAAGCTATCTGTGATGATCAAAGAGGCCAACACCATTAGTAATGAATTAGGGAAAAACACTGTTTTCTACAGGTGAGTATCTGAGTTAATTTTAAGAGGGTATGTATTATATATAAAAAATATACATAGAAATTGGGGGGTGGTTCTGGATGTGCAGTGAGCTGTTGGTTTTTCTTTTCACACTTTTGTTAATTGAACATGACAAATAATTTTTCCAAACTGGCTTTAGATAAATGTGTAGTTTAGCCTTATTAGTTTGAAATGTCAGTTTGAAATTTGAATTTTACATCAAAACTTTAAAGTTATGTCTACAGACAACTTTGGATCCAGTGTGCTTTGGACGTGAATCTTTGGATACCAATGTCCGTCCTGCTTTGGTTCACATATTAAAGTGGTCCTAAAGCACACTAACTGCATTCCTTTTGCACAAAACTAAACCAGGGAATATGTGCTAGCCACTGGGCGGTGTTCAGTTCATAGGACCACAGCAGAGGTGGTCCAAAGTAAAAACCTCAGAACATGCATATATTTGGATATTGAATTCTTGTGACCAGCTGTTTCACTCCACAGATATCTTGTAGCTGAAGAGTGTTCTAGAAGTGGACCTGTATATTGGTCAGGTGTTCTTAGTGTGAGCAGAGCTATATTAATGCAGAGGAAACTCTGTAGCATTAAAAAAAAATGCTACAGTAGATGTAGGTAAGCTAGGACTTTCTAGTAGGTCTAAGTATTGCTGTGTTCTTCAGATGTTTTTTCACATTCTTCAACAAGAACTCTGCCAGTAGAATTCCGTAGCATATGTTTGATCCTGAGTTTCTTGAGAGCCAAGAATTTGTAGGCTAGTACCTACTTCTATCTCTGAACATGGGGATTCCTTTTTTCCTTTACATAAAAATAATTTTACTGGCTACACTAATGTGTGTGGTGTGAGATGCAAGTCTTAAGCAATTTTTGTGTTTGTAATCAAGGTTTTATTCTCTGTATAATCCTATCTACAGGTGCCTTGTTTATTTTTGCAATTTGAATAATGTTTTTTGTCTGGTGTTTTTTTTTAAACTTTCTCAAATTCTTAGGCACGACAAAACTGATGATAAAACAGGAACAGTGTCTTCTGTACAGGTGCAGGTTCGTAACATCAAACTGGGAATAGCGACTTTCTGGAGCCTGGAGAAATTTGAATGCAAACTAGCAGCAATGAAAGAACTCTATGAGGTCAGTAACAACTGAAGGAAAACTGCCAATAATCAGTAATATTTTGTCAAAGACAAGAATTTGATAATCATACAGGAGGAAAATCTTGTGGGTTTTTTTGTTTGTGACCTTAAACACCAAGGCACATGATTATTTTTTATTAAACACATGTACACGCGTTTGTCCATCACACAGAAAGAGGACAGTAGAAATCAATGACTTTATTCAGGTCATTTTGTGTACAGAGTGTGAAGTAGTAAAACAAGGACTGCTCTGTGGTTTTTCTGTCTGTTCAATTGTTTATGTGTTTTAGACAAAAACTTGACTTTTTCAAGGTATGATGATTTTTCATCGGTACATTCTATCTATTTTTCTTTGGTTCTGGCAAGTTAATTTGCTACTGGTTGCTTTTGTATGTGCTTTAGGTTCTTCAACGGGAGTCTTTTAAAGGCACTTTTCATCATTGTTTAATAAATGGACTAATAAGCTGCACATTAATCCCTTTTTCTAATTCCATTGCTTTTAATCAGACAATCTGGATAATTTTCTACTGCACCTCTCTAGATATACTTTGTTTTGGAGCGTATCATACTATTGTGTTGAAGTGGAGGATGTAAAATAGAAGAAAGGGAGAAGTGGGAACAGCACCTACATTTGATTCTGTATGCCCCAAAAAATTATAGCCATTAGCTAAAATCTTTGTAATTACGTACAGGTAGACAATGGTTCCAAATTGCGTGATTCCAAAATGTCAAAAAATATTGAATACAAATAAGATTACAGTATCAGCACTTATTTGCTGGGAGAATTTTTTTTTTTAATCTCCTAAGGAGAGAAATATCATAAGAAATAAGTTTATCTTTATTGACTCCATGTGAACAGACAGTCTTTTCATTGCGTTCCATTGCATTTTCTTTCCTTCTTTTTAGAGCTGAAGACTAGAGAGCCCTAAGAACTACTTAAAACAAAAACAAACAAACAAAAAAACCCCAAACACAAAACACAAACACAAAACACTATCAGGTCTGGTGCCCCTTACAAGTATTTTCCTTTTTTTAGTGGCAATGGACTATTCTGGGATTTTCCAATCTTCAGGGCTGATGATTGCATTTTATTTGTTTTTTGGTTTCTGCCACATGAATTGAATGTTGTTTTAGACTGCAGCGAAATAAAGAAGGGTAAAAGAACGAAAATTCTTGGAGATGAGTAAGAGCTGGTTAACATGAAGGAAGGATCTAAAACAATCCAGTAGAACCAAAATGTTCTTCTATTTGATGCTATACTAGTTTGGAAATTTTTTGCGTAATACACGAAAACATGTATTTAAGACTAAGTTTTAGATTAAGAGAACAACTTGTCTAAATTTGTTGTGTGCTTGAATTTGTGATTCTCCTGATCATATAAACCTTTTTCATTCCAATATCTGTATTATCTTTAGCCTGGAGCAGTACTGAAAAATGAGTAGAAATTGCTTCAAATAATATATAAAGAAATATTTGGATGCTTGCTATTTCCAAACATATATCATGTTCTGGCATAAATAGCATACTTGAAGATTGCAGAAGAGGAGCTCTCGACTGTTGGGGCATGGAGGGTGCTGGTAGGGAAAAATACAAGGGCTTTTTACAGAAGAATGGTGCTATAATTATTACTAAAAACTGTTGGGATCTTGGCAGTATCGGAGACTGGATTCTATTTCTTGTGGAAAACTATTGCTGAAACTGTCAATAAATCCAGGTATAAAAATAAATAAAGATTGTAAGTTATATGCCCAGATTTTTAATAAATCTGGCAGGTGGAGAGAGCTGTGAAAAAGTTTTGTACTTGGTGTTCCTGTATCTTGCATGCCGGGTAGCTAGGTGTCTTCACTAAATGTTTAGCTTTATTTAGTTTGTTTTCAAACACTTACACCTCAAGTTGTTTGACAGTCAGTTATCTTCTAGATTATATACATCCTAACAAAAGAAAAAACATTAAAACTATTGTTCTACTGTTAGTAGAACATGTTGGCTTCATCCATGTTGTATGCTTTATTATCACTCTATTTCTGTTTAATCCTTCTCCTCCCCTGTGTTTTCTTTATTTTTTCAGAGTAATGATAGTAATAAAGCTGCTGATGTATTTTATGATCCTGCTGATGAGTGGGAACCTGACCTTTCTGATGCCTCTGTTTCCTCTCTTTCCAGAAGAAGGTGATACTAATTTGTGGCTCTTTCATCTATGCTTAAAACAAAGCAAAAAATAATTTGTGTAATTATCTAAACATGCTTCTGTGCCACTAATATAGTCTTACTTATTAATTCTTCTTTTACCTTACTAGAATGTCAAACTTAAAAATTAAATGAAAAGTTATGTATACATTTGTGAGGAGGAAGGAAAGTTTAAATATGTTACCTTACTATGCTTTACTGGCTTCACTTACGAAATGTGTCTCAGTATGCAACACGTTGCTAATAAAAATTGCATGCCCACTAAAGCAGTTTGGCAGATTAAACAGCAGTGTTTGAGGTTAGGCATAGCATATATGCAATGCATGTCTGGTCAGTGCCAGAAGGTTTTATGTATGACTATTGACAGCTAGCTGGAGGTAATTAAAGGTTGTTCCCAACTATTTCAGAAAGCTATCTCAGAAATTAATACATTTGTCTGTAGCACAGGACTTTTAATTAACCTGCAGAGGACCCACAGGTTAATGTTATAGATATCCACCTATTTAACTAGTAACACAAGCGATTTTTAAATAGGCACATGGACAGCTCTTCCCATCCTTACTTACTGCATACACTGTGCCAGCTAATGAGGAGTTCTCTTCTGTTCATTCATTCTCTTATCTTTCCTCATGGGCAAGAAATAGGAACAAAAGTTCCTCCAAACCCAGAAGTATATTTTGTCAAAACATATGTAAGGCTTTCTAAACCTTGTATCTAGATATCATGAGTGCAGTTTGAAATGTGTAATTTTAAATGTTTTCCTCACAATTCTATAATATGAAAGCATTGTTTTTAAGGACTAAATTGCAGCTGGTCTGGGACCTTGTATGTCAAGTTTTAGCCTTGTAACAGTATTTATAAATGAATTGCAAACTTCTGCAATTTCTACAATGGAAATGCTAACAGATCCTTAATTATATCTTTGCTAGTGGGTAGCAGCCCATATGACTATTGTTATTCTGCTGTAAAGCAGGTCAGTTTTCTTGACTGTAAATTTTGGAAAGCGCTCCTGACCATTCCAAGTAAACAAAAGTTATCTGAAAAGCATGCAATAAACAGTTTCTTTATTCTTAGTGTAAGTAGTGTTTTAATGATACAATGACGGTGGAATACTCCTTTTGTCTGATGCTGCCTTCTGGACAGTGTTGTAATGTGTGTGCTTGAATCTTCAGAAGTGTTTTTTGGTTCATTCTGCCTATTTAAAAATGCAACAATAGAAGCTGAACTGAACAAGAAAAGGTACTGGAAAAGGGGACTTGGCATTGCATGCTGCATTGACAGCAGTTAACTGCTGTCAGTCACACATACTGGGGAAATAAATTAAATTCCATGTGCTACTTAAAGATTTGGTGATCCTGATGTGTAGTGTCATGGAGCATAAAGGACAGTCTGTTCCTAAAGGGAAGGGCAGTTCAGGGCTGGATGTGACAACAGAGTAGACAAGGCAGTGCCCTTGTGAAAAAGAGCCTAGCCCCACAGTTTCTGAGCGGGGTGAGCAGAGTGCATCTGGCGATGGTAATCAGAGTCAGACAACAGTCCAGATCCACAGGTAAGTATGTAATAATGAGGCAGGGCTGAGGTTAAGCTGGGAAATCGTATCAGTGAGTCAGGATTAGGTGCAGGGACAGCTGGCAGGGTCAGCCTGCAGTCCAGTGATTGCCTGACACAGCCATCATGACAAAGTTCCAGGTCAGACTGGGAAGTCCGGTCTGCAGGCCCAGAACAATGGCATATATGGCCAGGCATCAGGCATGGTTACAACACAACTGCAGCGTAAGTCAGGCAGGACCAAGGGCAGAAGATTTACCTTAAACACAGCTCCTAGAAAAGCTGGGGAGCCTCTCTTGGGTCTCCTTCCAGCTGTTTCTTTAACAGCTTCAAGGCTGGTTGGGGCTTCTCAAACAGCTCTCTTCCCAAGATCTGGCTTTGGGCACCGGCAGCTAAGCACCCAGAGCCAGGCCCGGGAAGCTAAGTTACCTTGTCTAACTGACAATGGAGAACTTGACAGAATGTTTGTCTTTTGCCAAGAACAAAAGCCCTCCCCTCTGGCTTTCCAAAGCAATTAATTCTGTCCAGCAGACAAGATAAAAATCCAACATGTCTGCTTTCTGTGGTCCCAGTACGTAGCAAAGAAACGTGTTTTGTCTCAAGTTCTAGATAATAATAATCCAGTAATAAACCAGTATCTTAAAAATGGCAACGTGGAATGAAAATCCTACTATAGTAGCAAAAGCCTGAGAAAGTAAGTAGGATCCATCCTATGGGCTGTGTTGTCTTGCTTTCACTCTGCTTTAGGTTTTGTGTTCCATTACTTCAAAGTAGATGTTTGTTTCATTTGCCTGATGTCTGTTAACATTAATTGAACTTTCAGTGGGTTATGGGGAGAGAGATTGCTTTCTTTTAAGGTTTTTTTTCATGTTCTCACTGTATCTTCCTTTCCTAGAAGTAGAAGTTTCATGAAGAACAAGAAAATTTCTGGATGTTTGTCTGAGATAAAATTGCAACCAATGCAGAATATACAGACTTCCTATATATCAGGTATTTACTGTAGGGTACAACACCATTCATTTCATACTGATAATTGAAACTACTACATGTATGAAATATATGCACTTCTAATAGTCAAAAAAAAAAAGTGTAGGTTGGAAAACAAAAAATGTCCTATTTATAGTCTCTTCAAGTTTATGATGTCAAGCTGTTAACAGTAGGGGTTTTTGTATTTTTGATTATGTTGTCTTAGGGCAAAAACTTCCTGACCAGCACTTATGACCCTTATTTAAGAAATTTATCTAAAACATTACTCTGCTTAACTATTAACTGGAGAAATACGGTAGTTCATGTAACAAATTGTCAGAGGCTGAATCTTGATATGAATTGGAGATGTTGTTTGAGTTGTTGCTATTCATTCAACTACTGAGGTTCCCCCAAGCTTTTTGTCAGGTTTTATGAAATACTTTTCTGAAATACTAGATGTTTCAGTCTTGCACATACTTTTATGCATTTGGTTACTTTAGGTTGGCTGGATTTTGTTATTTTCTGTCTCTGTGTAGGTTCAATTGTTGAAAAAGATGGATTCATGTTAAAGAATTTCACTACAGAATTTGTCTTTGTACTAAGTGAATCGAGAAACTATGCAGAACATTGTATACGCATTTTTTGACTTGCTATCTTGTGTAGTTAAACAATGCTGAAGAAGCAATATAAAATAGCCATTAAAGGCATGCTGACTGCTCAGTCCTATGAAGAGTTTCTTGCATATATGTTTTGCTTTTACGTCATACAGGTTCACAGAATAAGTCCAGCATATGCCCAAGCTTTTCTGAACTGTTTCTTCCAGGAATTTTCAAAGAATCAATAAGTTCAGCTTTAGATGTACTGGAAGAGAATCATGAAGGAGGAAAGAGCATAGCAGATACTCTCCTAACTAATTTGTTTATAATTTTCTCTGGAGTTTCTGCCATTTCAAAAGCTTACGAACAGCAAGACGAAGAATGTCAAGAAAACTGTAAGTCTCATTTTCCTAATAGTTTAAAGTAAACGTTACTAATTACTTGTCTTTCAGATGCGCAAGCATTCATATGTTTGCCTATCGGAAGAATTAACATTCCTACTTTCATTTGCGAAGGACACATTCTGATAGATCTCCTTCTCTTGTAGTTTTCTCTCTTGATCATGCTGCTCAGTCCTACAGCATCAGAATTATCTCTGCTTTTGACCGTCTTGTGGTTCTAACCAAGCTCTGGCTTAACAATGTCCAGAAGTGCTCTGGATCTATAAAGGCTGATGAAGAAATAAAACAGGAAGTAAAGAACTTGGGTGGTTATTTACAGTTACTATTGCAGGTAAAGTATATTGAAGAATTCATCTATGTGTAGG